CTGATCCTTTTACTGGTAAAATACATAGATGTGTGCAAATACACGGTGTCACACTCACGCATGGATCATGTGCACTGATGTACCTCTCGATCCTCTCCAGGTGGCAGTGCCTATTCCTCTTCCTCTCGCCAGAAAGCTACAACAAACATCTTTTTCCCCAACACCGATGGAGTTATGTTTGAACAGGCGAATATCACTCAGATTCTTGGTAAGTGACACTTTTACATCTGAATTTTACTTAAAGTCTGGGCTTCAGCTCCAAGATGGGTCACAGACTTCAGGTTGGGCAAAAACAATGGCAAATAAGTGCCATAAAGTAACAAAAGTTAGTTTTTTTTTTTGTTTTGTTTTTTTAAGGACTCCGTCAATCATTTATCCCTTTAAACTCATCTTTGATCACCAAAATGACATTTAAATGTTTTTTCCTTGAAAAAATAAAATATTCATGCCTTAAAGGGATACTCCACTTTTTTTGGAAATAGGCTCATTTTACAACTCCCCCAGAGTTAAACAGTTGAGTTTTACTGTTTTTGAATCAATTCAGCCGATTTTTTTGATATTTAGAAGAATATCAGTAACAGGACAGTTTCTGGTCTCATTGACTTCCATAGTAGGAAAAAATTATACTATGGAAGTCAATGAGACCAGAAACTGTCTGTATACTGATATTCTTCTAAATATCAGAAAATTGGCTGAATTGATTCGAAAACGGTGAAACTCAACTGTTTAACTCTAGGGGAGTTGTAAAATGAGCCTATTTCCAAAAAAAGTGGAGAATCCCTTTAAAAAGCTTGAATATAACTATACCCTTTGTATCATTTAGTATACGCGGTTCTATGAATATGTAAATTATCCCCACCTCCACTCACTCACACAAGCTCAGAGATCAACTCGTCCACAATCGCATGTGTATGTGGTAGTTTGTGATGTCAAACCAAGTTTTTGAGGTGAAAGGTGAAAACACTCTTTAATTTGGACATGGTTTGTCTCAAAGCATTTTAAAAACAGCTCGTAGACATATAAACAATATTAAAAACTTGATTTCACCACAGGGGGACTTTAAACTTTTAGTAATTTTGTTGCATTTCTTTCCAAATATGTCTATTTAGTTTTTAAGTTTAGTTATTTTTGCACTTCAAACTCAACCCAAACAAAAATAACAAAAAGCTAAAATAAAGTAATTTTTATGTCAGGAAATTATTTTTTTATACTTAATTATAGAAACCCTGCTATATATGTATGTGTTCATGTATGTATGTGTAAAGTGTTTTTGACTTCATCTCCGGGGGCGGCCCTTATTAGTGTGCCCCTCTGAAGGGTCGGGATGCTAAATCGATAATGTCATACTTGCTGACAATAACCTCTACTGTATTCACACATAACATTTCTCCAATATTACCTATAGGTAAGCTCCGGGAGCTGAACAACAATGCTCCTGCGGACCATAAGCTGAGTGACGCAGCATTGGAGTGTCTGGAGAAGTTGTTAATGCTAGTTTCAGACCCGAAGAGTCAGGAACAGCCCACAGCAGATCAGATCAGTGTTCTCTGGAGGACTAGCCACTGGCCAGAAGGCAAGACATTGGGATTACTTTAATAATAAAAAAACCCCCCAAAACAATTCACTATACTACCAATGTGTAGTAAAGTATCACTGAGGGCAAGGGTGTCCAATCCTGCTCCTGGAGGGCCAAGGTCCAGGACAGTTTAGCTACCTATAACCCAAATGACACCAATTATGAAGGTCTTTAGAATTAAAAACAACTACTATTTAGGTATGTTAAAGACAGGATTGGACACTTCTGATTAGTTAGTTTGAAGCATTTGATTCTGAACCTGGGGCCAGTTGTGTACTGTATATACTTTTTAATGTGTCCAGTCTTAAAGAAACACATTAGATACTATGGCTACATTAATCCGGATACATTTGAAAACATAGTTTTCGTTTAAAGGCACTCTGTGTCCACACTAATGTTTTCAAAAAATTTGTTTTCATAAATAAAAACGCCATCTCAGTGTGCACGGAAGGCCAAAACAGACAGAAAAAGATGCTTTTTCAAATGAAAACGTATTAGTCTGGATCAGGCCTAACTTGTAAACTGTTTATGCAACTGGTCACTGGTGTGCTATCTCCTTTGAATTTGATTTGGGAAATAAGCTAAACTAAACAAATTATTATATATATATTTTTTCAATAATTCATTGCACTCTGATGTATATCTTAATACAGAAGAAAAGATCTGTTGCTACTTTTGTTTCATCGTGACTTTAAAGGGTTAGTTCACCCAAAAATGAAAATTCTGTCAGTATTTACTCACCCTCATGTTGTTCCAAACCTCTATGTGTTTATTTGTTCTGCTGAACACAAAGGAAGTTATTTGGAAGAATGTTTTAATCAAACAGATCTCATTCCCCATTGACTACCATAGTATGTATTTTTTTCTATGGTAGTCAATGGGGAATGAGATCTGTTTGATTAAAACATTCTTCCAAATATCTTCCTTTGTGTTCAGCAGAACAACATTTTTGGGTGAACTAACCCTTTAATCCAAGACTGTTTCTCTGTAAATCAAAATAGTCCATCAAACAGATTGTAGTAAGTATTATAGTAAAGCTCAATCAATTTAATCAGTCATCATCTCCCTCCTCAGACATTGTCTTTCCTGTGTTGGACATCCTGCGCTTGGCTGTGCGCCATCCTGAAGTCAATGCCCAACTTTGTGGCGGGACAGAGGGTGCCAGCCTTTGTAACCATCTCCTGGGTCTCATGACCCCCGAAGGCAGGCCTGCAAATCAAATGTTGGCGCTCCGCACTCTCTGCAACTGTTTCTCTGGGTCCCACGGCCGTGCTCTACTCTTGGGGCACCGCGACACAGTCCTGTCCCGGGCCGGAGACCTCCGTGCCGTCTGCAACAAGAACATCCACGTGGCACTGGCTACTCTGCTGCTCAACTACGCCGGAAGGTTGTACGGTCAACCCGCTGAGATCGAGGCCAAGGCGCAGTGCTTGTCAGTGGCTAGCACTGCCTTAGAGGTCGTACAGGACAAAGAGGCCGTCTTCAGGCTGCTGGTGGCCCTGGGGACCACAGTGGCCGGGGACAACACCGCAAAGGACCTTGCACGATCTTTGGGTGTCAACTCTCAGATTTCTAAATACGCCAGGGTCTCTGAGCCGGCTAAAGTTGGCGAGTGCTGCCGACTAGTGCTCGATGAACTGCAGTGATGTCTGGAAGGTGTCAAAGGATGCAACTGTCTATTACTACACCTCTATGATAAAACCAACATCTTTCAGATCTCTTAAACCTCAATCTCTATATCATTAGTTTGTATTTAAATTTTCACATTTTGATGCTGAATGGATATGAATGAATGCATGATGTGAATAAACACTGCTGATTAATCTAAATCGTTCTTAAAACAAGACTCGTGTTATTGATGCAGATCGGTGGTTCTCAAACTTTTTGACTCGAAAGGCCCCCTCGTTGTCCAACACAAATTTTTAGGCTAAAACCACATCTACACCAGACTAGTTAACGAGAACCCATTATAATCAGTGATCCTGTCTACACTGGATGTGGCGCCACGTTATGACACCGCAAAGTAAACTGACGCCCTGTTCCATTTCTGATGAACTCCGTTCCATGCATTTGCACTACTGTCAACAACAGGACTGGGTTTACAACTTCCTCTTTTGACACGTATAATAAGGACCTGGTGTAGACAACCTGTAAGATATTTCTGGTGTTTCTGCTTTAATTGACAAAGCTGCTTGTTTTCAAACTTTTTTTATTAACAGAAACTGATGTATTAAATGAAAGAACCACGATTCATGTTGTGATTCCAGACGTTTCTAGAACTGTACAGTATGTTCTTGAATAAAGGCCAATAACTAAAATAGTTATTGTTGAAAAAAAAGGCAGTTTACTTTTAAAATTTATTTTAAAAGTTTAAATTATTTTAATATATTGATAATCGTCCTGTAACTTAATATTAATTAATAATATTAATAATCATCCACTTACTGATATCTATCATATCATTACTTGCAGTACTTAACATGAAGTCAAAATGAAATTAACTGAATTCAGATTTTATTTTCACAATGTGGAAAGCCGAGTAAGTGGGCTTTTTTTTTGGACTGTGAAAAGTGATCTCTGTTTTTCAGGAAGTCAAGGCGTCAGCTATTGACTTCCGATTATTGACTGACCGATTAATAAAAAGGGATCGTAGTATCGTGCATTCTACCAGTTGCGGTTCTGGCAGCGGCTCTGTCCCAATTACAACGCCACGTATATCACGTTTAGCAACACAGCGTGACATTCCACTTCTTCATCATCACGTATTAGCATTGTTTTAAAGCCTTGCCTGTTAAACTTTTTATTCACGCTGTTCCGAGATACGCTTTTCTGAGAACGCACACACTAAAATCCGTCATGGACTAGGTTCTCTTTCGCGTCTTATTGCGTTTAACTGTTGAATACAAGGTAAACATCAACAAATTTTATGTTTTTATGTTTTACAAACATCTTTTGATCTTAAGTGAGTTTAAAAGTTCGGATGCGAGTTAGTATATAGAATGTATTTGGTCTTAAAGTGACAGCAGCCTAATAAACCTGCTGTTATCTGTGTCTTTTATGTTCAGACAATGAGAAAATCACTCACTGCTCTCGACTGAATGACTTTAGCAGCTTAATTAAGAATCAGTGTATATTTCATTCATACAGTGAAGTCTATGTAGTGTTTTATTTTTATATTTGTTTATTCAATTTCTTGAATGATACTGTCAAATACACCAATGGTAGCTGTAAAAAAATTCATTTGTATCTTATATTTGTATAGTCCTATTATTTGTAATTTGCATATTTATTCTTATTTTTAATAACAAAGATAAAATAAAGTGAAATCATATTTTGGCTGTATCGCCCTCCCCTAATTTGGCCTAAATGGTCTGGGATTTTGTTACCTTGTAAGGCTACATCTTAAATAGGGAATTACACCAACATGAAGAAGAATAGTGATATGATTGTCATACTGCCTGAAAATTATATATTTTATACACATATATATATGTATACATGTATGTTTGCCATATTGCCCACCCCAAGCATCAGCTAAAGGAACAAGCTATTTAATTTTGATAAAAGATTACAAAGACATTTTTTTTCACAGTAAGACCAGAAAGGTATATTAATAAAGAAAATTGGTTCAATTTTAATTCCATGTTGACTTTTAAGGTAAAGAAAATCTATTCAATTTAAATATAGGGCTACAACCAGTGTTTTTTCCACTTTTATCTCTAAAATATTAAGCATCTAGTTAAAACACAGGTTAAATTCTACATGCCAACAATGGTGTCGCTTTCAAGTCTAACTCATATTCATACTCATGTTCATAATAAAACTATCCCATTACTATTAAAATACCTTAAATACATTAGATGGTCACATTGTAGCAAACCCCAAACATTCCATGGCTTCACTACACTATTAGTAAGACACAAATAAAATAAAAGCTTAATAAATAACGCTAAATCCAGAGCCCAAAACATACGTCTAGATCGTGGACGGCTTGTGCCGTTCCTCTTGCCTTTTACACTATTATAGACTCCAAAAATCTTCTTCATGTAAACAGTTTCGAAATGACACTATCAGCTTTGTGCAGTTAGAGCACTGTGCGTTGTTAGTCGCTTTGGACCATGAAGTAGTAATCTGTCAGCTTT